GGCTGGTCTTTCCACAATTACGGAGGAGAACTTTGGGGAGAATGATGAAATATCACTTTCTTTAGAAGAAAAGGAGGAAATGTCTCCTACTGATGAAGAATTATAGGAAATAGACAGTGACACATCTGTTTTTTTTAGAGGAAGAACTGATTCAGGGCAACACATGTGCGCTCCAGAGGGCCCTCAGTCGACGCGCAGGTGCAGTCATAGAGATCGGGGTAGGCCGGTGGTGGTGCGGGGGGCGTTCGGCCCCCCCATCGGTGGGTGACTCGCCGGCTCGGCTGGGGCGTCACGGGCGCCGGCTGTAGTGGAGTGGGGTCGGTGATGTTGTCGGCCCCCCTTTCGGCGGGTCGCGTCCCCGCTGCAAGGTACTGGGCTTCGGCTGGAGTCTCAGCGCCACCATCAACTCCCCCTTCGGCAGGTGGTGTTCCCACTCCAGGGTGCGGAGTCTCAAGCATGATTCATGCTTCTCCGTCAGCTCCGCAAGGGACAGACGTGCACGTTGTAGTTAACAACACCCAAAGAGGGAATGACATGCAGCAACAGGCCACGCGTGCATGGCTCAGTCTACTCGAAAGGCACATCCTCAGACTGAGCAGCAACGACAGGCCATGTACGACCTGAAGGTCGAATTATGCTCAGCTCCGTGCCTGGCGCTTCCTGATTGTGACAAAGAGTTCCACCTTGAGGTCGTGTTCTCATCTAACTGCTTCAGTGTCGGTCTTTATCAAGTATATGACTGTGACAGGCGTGTCGTAGCATATGCTAGTAAGCTCTTGTCCGGTCCTGAGTTTAAATACTCTTGACTGTGAAAAGCTTTGCTTTCCACCATGTGGGCAGTTAAACACTTTTCCAGCTACACTGGTGGACAGAAAATCATCGTCATTGAAACACAACATCGGCCAGTGACCTTCTTTCCGCTTCCGGTCGGTAACAAGATAGCGCCTGTGCTTGGCTTAGCCGCAGTCACCGGCCACTTTTTCAAACTTTTCTCCACTAACCTCCTCTTTTCCACCTTGCTCCTGTCTGCGATACTCTTCAGTAGTGTCCCTGCTACCATCTCCTATGATCGCCAGACTCTTTTGTCCTTCCGTTCGTTCACGATCGCCCACGATATTCTGGTCTGGTTGAACTCTGCCCGAGTGGTAATTATTTTCTTAGCCAGCCCCGGGGTTCTGGTCGTGGGGGAGGCCTAGCTGTTGTTTTCAGAGACCATCTTCCACGTAGCTCTACAACCTCTGGTCACTTTGCTTCCTTTGAACTGCAGCTGATTAAAGTCGGGCGTAAGGACCCGTTCTACTGTGCTGTGGTCTATCGTCCACCTGGTCCAAACAGTTCTTTTCTTCAGGAGTTTAGTGACTTTCTATCCTCCTCTGTGAAGCTGATTATTGGTGACTTTAACATCCACGTTGATGATCCCTCCCATCACTTTGCCATGAATTTCTCCAGCATTATGGACTCCTTCAGCTTTACCCTTCATGTTTCTGGCCCCACACACACCAGGGGGCACACTCTGGACCTTGTTTTTACTTCTGATCACCATTGCATTTTCTTTAACTTGTCAGTGTCTGCGTCCCCACCTCCTGCTCGCCATATGGTTAGTTCTCGTTTTCTTAATGAGAGCACAGCTAGAAATTTTTCTGCTGCTTTTGATCCACCCTGTTCTTCTGATAACGACCCAGATTCCTTACCTTCTCAGTCTAACGATCGCTGCCTCTCCATTCTGGACAATATCTGTCTTGTCAGAACCAGATCAGTTCCTGCAGTGAACCCTACTCCCTGGTTTCATGACAGCCTGAAGCGCCAATGCAGAAAAACTGAGCGTTTGTGGAAGAAAACTCATCTCCACGTCCATCTGCTGCACCTAAAGGATCTTCTGACATCCTTTAACTCTGCAGTCAGAGATGCAAGGGTTTCCTATTTTTCCAACCTGGTGTCCCAGAGCAAAGGGAACCCCAAGGTGCTGTTTAACACCATCAGCAGCATCGTCTCTCCTGCCTCTCCTACAGCCTCCATCAACTCTGTTGCAAACTGTGAGAACTTTCTGTCTTTCTTTGTGAACAAGTCAATAAGGTTAGATCTAGCATCTCTCCTTCAGCCTTATTGCCGCCTCTCCCGACTCCAATCAGGCCCATCATCCTAGATAGCTTTGCTCCTGTTTCTTTGCCTGAGTTAACCAAACTAGTTAACTCTATGAAGACCTCTGCATGCCCCCTCGACATCTTACCCTCATCTTTGTTTAAAAGTGCTTTTCAGTTCATTGGTCCCAGCGTGCTCTCTATAATTAATGCTTCTCTGGTCTCTGGTCAGGTCCCTGCTTACTTTAAGAGCACTGTAATCCACCCGCTTCTTAAAAAACGAGTCTTGACCCCTCTCTCCATAGCAGCTTCAGACCCATCTCTAAACTTCCGTTCATCTCCAAGATCTTAGAAAAGGTTGTGGCTAAACAATTCACAGCTGCTCTTGATGAACATAACATCTATGATAGCTTCCAGTCAGGTTTTCGTAGAGCTCATTCTACTGAGACAGCTCTTCTTAGGGTCTCTAATGACCTTCTGACTCAGTGATGCAGGGGACTGTTCTGTTCTGGTCCTGCTGGACCTGACTGCAGCTTTTGACACTGTTGACCATCACCTGCTACTGGAGAGGCTGAGAGACTGGGCAGTTCTATCAGGAACTGCTCTGGAGTGGTTCTCCTCCTATCTTTCTGAGTGTTCCTTTTCTGTGGCCGTCTCCAAGTTTAGGTCCTCCACCACCTCCCTTACCTTCTTGGAAAATTAACGGGTTCTTAACCTCTAACCGGAAGCCCGTTAAACATCAAGACCTCTTCATGGCTTGTGATAACCCTAGCGACATCACATGACATGCAGATCTATTGGCGTGAAGTCAAAGGTCTTTCTCGTGTACCCGGAACTGATAGGGATCTGATTGCAGACTCTCTTGCTAAACAAGGTGCAGCTGTTGGTACCCCATGGTCCTTTAACCCCTTGTGGCTCCCTGACAGTGTGTCTTCTCGGTCAAACCCACCCCGTGTGTGTGTCGTGGCTCAGGCCGTTAACGCGTCCACCTCTCGACCGTCCGATGGTTTTGAGTCTGTTCTTCCTGTCTTTTCTGAAAACAACCTTGTCAATCTTCGGTCCCAGGACTCTGATATTAGCAGGATGATCCTGTACCTTTCTGATCCGACAGCTCATCTTTCTTCTCCTGTCAAGCTTGACTCCGTTCCTGAGCTATGGGCTCTCTTTCGTGTTCGTGTCATTCCCTCTCTAGGTGTTGTTAACTACAACGGCGCTGTCAGAGTGACCAGTCGATCCACAGCCTCCAAGGTCAGTGACACCCACAGAGTCTGTGTCGTCTCTGCAGCAAGATTGCTTCACTCGGGGGTGGGAAAACCACCTAAAGCTTGGTTTATGCTTGACGCATTCACTTTCCGCTTGGTGATGCAGCTCGCGGATGGAACGCGCTTCACAACTTGCAGCGTTTATAGGTTCATGCGGCTTGTCTCTGCGGTGAGCCAATATTCTCCCAAACTGTAAGGGGCAGCATAGAGCTCTACGGCATGCATCCAACACTACACCAGAGTAGAAGTAAAAATTACTGTTGTTTACAACATGTCATTCCAGCATGCTTTAACAGCGACCTCGTCTTTTCCGACAGTGCGAGCTATTTCTCTCCAAGAATTATTAACAACGTGTTGATCGCGGTGATCTTTGAGAGCTGAATCATACAAGTGTCTGTATTTACGAACCTCTGCCATACTAGTTCTTGCCAGTCCGCCATGTTTTTCCGCGTCCGACCGTCCGCATGGTTAGAAAATTTCCTAGGTGCGCGGTGCGGAAATTTTGGGCCGTGCGGAGGCGCTGTGGAGGGGCGTGGTTGTTAAAATGACGCAACCTCGCGGATGCGTCAAGCATAAACCAACATTAACCTAGGGGAGTTTGCAGTGGCACTGCACCTGAGACTCCGCACACTGGAGTGGGAACACCACCTGCCGAAGGGGGAGCTGATGGTGGCGCCGAGACTCCAGCTGAAGCCCAGTACCTTGCGGTGGGGATGCCACCTGCCGAAGGGGGGTGGGGGGGGGGTGGGGGGGGGGGGGCTGACAACATCACTGACCCTACTCCTACAGCTGGTGCTAGTGACCTCTAGACCTGATGTTGGTGACTCGCCTACCACAGGGGGAAGGTTGAATGCCACCCTGTGACCACACTGGCTGACCCTGATCTCTGACTGCACCTGCGAGTTGTAACGAGCAATAAACCATTACGCTACAGCGTCGACCGAGGGCCCTCCAGAGAACACACCTGCGCCAGACACGTTCTGAGACATTGCATTCACCCGCAAACAAACACTTCATATTAGATTCATCCAAACACAGGGTTGCTTTTTTAATACCAAAGTCTTTTTAATATCAAAGTCTTTTATAAATTGTCATGTTTTATAATTGTTTAGTAATAAATTTCTTAACCTTCTTAAACTTGACTCTTTCTTGAAATAAACACAGAGTGGATGTACATTGATCACTGAACAGGCAAAGATCTTTAGATCTTCTGAATTAACAAATAATCTTTGCTATTAAATTAAATCTTTAAAAATAAATATTATAATCTTTTGATTAAACATAGACCAAGCAAGTTGGTGTATGAATTTATATCTATTATATTATTCTATTATTCTATTATCTATTATATATATATATATATATATATATATATATATATATATATATATATATATATATATATATATGTATATGTGTGTATATATATATATATATATATATATATATATATATATATATATATATATATATGTGTATATATATATATATATATATATATATATATATATATGCCATTTCACATATTTAGAAATTTTGTAGATTAATATTACATATTTGCTGGCTCAAGTGTTAGTAATAAAATATATTTTAAATATTGGAGCATCTATTTTATTGGACAGAGTTACTGCCCACTCCATTGTAGACGATCTTCGGCTGCGTAGCACACCAGTAGGAAAGCCGGCGCTGACAGGAGGAAGGACAGGACGGGACTCTTCTCTGTGAGGCGGGCTGGTAAGAAGCAGAGCAGCGGGCCGTCATGGACAGGACGGCCGTGGTGAAGGTCGGAGCCGCGGCAAGCGCTAGCGTATGTGTTCTGGTCGGCGGCGTAGCACTGGCCCAATATATTGTCACCAAGAAGAAACGGGCCGGGAAGAAAACGAAGATAATAGAAATGGTGAGTTTAACTACGCACTACTTTGCATTGTCAAAACGAATAAAGTTAGAGGAGTCGGAAGTTAATGGTGGAATAGTTTCAAAATAAATGTAATGACAGGCGTTTCTTGGCACGCTCGCTTTTATTTTAAATACACGTACCGGAAATGTTACTGCGTCAGATCTGATCCAGACTGCTAAACTAGCTTGAAGCACTGCGCTTGCGCTGCATTTATATATAAAAAAGCTGACTTTAGAGGTCACTTCCAGAGTTTATTCATCATAAAGAGTGGTAAACTTTTCTGTTTTACGTTGTAATGCTCGGCCAGCTCACATTGGAGTCATCGATGCTTCCTACGATTCTGTTTGTTTAAAAAAACAGCTTTGTGTTGGTCTGTTTTGTTTTAAAGACCGGTTTCATTCATCCAGTTTTTGCAGTCTTCTCAACACATGGACTGCTGTCATTACATGTTTCTAGCAAACTCAGTATGAGGAAAAACATTGTACACAAACCACACAAATAGCTTCATTTCATTATTGTTAATACAAACGGATGATCTCTTAATATATCCTACGATCCCCCACCACACCCTAACCTTTCTGCCTCATTTCAGCCCTGGCATTCCACCACACCCTTGTCATCCATGGAGTGGGTTCACACACTCCTCTCTGAAGCCATTGTAGGTGGTGTGAGATCACTGTAACATTTGATTGCTCTACTCCTTGCTGTTAGCATACCTTTAAACTCATAAATTGTTAGTTTGTTGCATCGACATTGGGATAAACATCAAAGTAGCTTGATAAGACTGAGAAAGTGCTCTCTTACATATGTTATTTTGTCTTTTTTTGTCACACTTCAGTTTCAGAGAAATATAACCCAAGTGAATAAAAAACTGTTTTCTGTCTCTGTTAAAAATTGCCGCAGCTCCCATCAGTCAGATAAGTAATAGAAAAACTCTTGACCACAACAACTGCAGTCAAGTGTTCGATACATAATGTTAAGCATCAGTACAATATGCCCTGTTGTATGTTGCATGTGTGTTTGTACATAACTTAAAATAAGAATGTGTGTAAATATACTTTTATTGTGAAAAGGACAAAAGAGGAAGTGAGGATGATATCATAGTTAGGTAACCAATGAAGGACATGTATGTTGACCTCTAACCTTATAGATGCACCAATAAAAGGAGAGCATTGGTGTCTGCAAAGGTGCTAGCGCCAGTGAAAGCCCATTGAAACAAGAAGCTCTGTATCTATCATTTATTTCCTGCCTTTGAACCTGGCACTCCGCTTGGGATATTTGGACCGACCGCTGCGTACAACGACACTCTGTTAACACTTAATAATGATTCTGAGCAGTTTCACCCCTTTCTTTGGAGAACTGTTTGAATTCAGTCACTCTTGCAATGTTCCCTGTATGTACGGCCAGTTTAAAGAGAGACTTAGCAACTTTTTCATATTTTTAAATCATTTTCTTGAGCCAGTATGTGCTAAAAAAATACCCCATTTACAGGCTACCCAGCCCCTATAGCCCCCGTGGACTGCAAATTACACTTGCAACTTCAGAGTCTGGTCTCTGTTGGACTTGGGGAAAAAAATGGAGCTGACATAAATGGTGCTGCATTCTGATTCCAGCACGTTTTCCTTCCATGAACACAGCTGATTTGTTTAATTTAGTGCGGTATCAGTCCTGTAGACGCTAAGGAAGGTTGGGGAGACATCACAGTTGTTAGATTAAGGTGTTAAAAAGACGAACGCACAGTGAGAAGACTGGTTTTGCTGTTGGTTCTGCTAAACGGACACTAGGGGGTGGTAAAAGCCAAAACTGCCTGTCTCCCTTTAAGGTCAAAGGTCAGACATTCATGGTTCCAGCAAGTGAATCAGTTGCCCAATCCCAATACTCGCCCTGCGGTCTTCAGCAAAGTGCATTGGGAGAAAGTGTGCAGAAAGGCTTTGAGTGCGTGGTACACAAGTGTGCAAATAATTGCCGAATTGAGACAAGGAGCATCATGTCATTGCAACGCATGTTGGGATGCTGGTCGCTGTGATAAGATTTTCAAAAACCTTTATTAACAACTTTCAAACAAACAGTTATTTGAAATACAGTTATATTCATTGCTGCTTTTTCTAAAACATTCAGAGCATCAACTAACTGTCCTAAAACAAACTCATTTAATTAGAAAATGCATATTTTCAGAAAAAGAACTTGAGCCTTTTGTGGATTGTGGTTATACACTTCATCCAAGTCCGCATCGACGCCGACTCGGGTGAAGTGCGGATCAAGGGTGCAAAACGGGTGTTATTAACTTCCGCACTTGAGAATCGGGACACCCACCAGGGCTATTCAATTCCAGGCCTCGAGGGCTGGTATCCAGCACGTTTGATTTTTTAACCCTGCTTCAACACACCTGATTTCAATCAGCAGGTGATTAACAGGCTTCTGCTGATGAGTGCTGCACAGGTGACTGAATCACTGAATTTAGTGTGTTGGACTAGAGAAACCACTAAAGCGTGCTGGATACCGGCCCTCGAGGCCCGAACTTGAATAGCCCTGCTCTACACACTCACACTCCTGGTCGGGATTGCACAATTGAAGGGCAAGGGTGGAAGTGCGAGTTTTGGGATTGGGCTAGTGTGTCAGTCATTCTTTAAACTGAGGATCAGAACTCGGCTTTCCAAATAATGCCTATAATAACAGTTAAATCATAGTTTAAGAGCTGGATCGGTTACTTTATCTTGGTTTATAAAAATATATTTTGTATTAACAGAAGTAATTTATTTAAATTTGAATGCTGATCTGAAACATTTAAGTGTGACAAAAAAGCAAAAACTAAAGTTCATCTGTAAGCAAGTCGACCTGACTGAATTATCCTTCGTGAGTCAGGCGAGCAGCTTAGTCCATCAGCTGACTTCTATTCATTAAACACAGTGGGGATCCAAGATAGCTGGTCACATGGCCGTCTGGCTTTTATTCTGGAAAATATTTCATCGACAAAGTGTGATCCTTGAGGACAGGAAAATTTTATAAGGCCGTAGGGTGTTATTTCCAATTAAAATTGAGCAGAAGGTCTCTGTGAGTGAAACAAACCGATGTTTAAATGAAACACTAAGCAGCGGACGTAAACCGGGATCAGAGCAGTTAAACTGGGATGCAGTAGCATGTGGCTGCTGTGTCCCTCAGCATGGAAACGTGTGCTTTTAATGATGTCTGCTGCGAAAACATCCGGTCTTTTCTTAACTGCAAAGCAACTTTTACAGGTTGTTTCTTTTTGTTTTCTTGTTTGACTTGAACATTTTGTGGTTAAAATGGTGCCTTCTTCTTGCTTTATTTCTCAAAAAGACATTTATACACAAAATAACAAACAAGTTTCATCATTCTTAGGCTTGCAAGCGTGTGAGTGTGTGATGGTGTGTGTCCATATTAGTACCTTAAGGACAAAACAAGACAAACGTTTAGATCCTCTGTAGTTTTCTTTTGGGGGTTTCTCTGAGATCAGTTATCCGACTTGGACCGGGCAGTCTGATTCACACAAAATTGTCAAGTTAGACATGCGTGTGCAACCATACCAGCCCTGGTACTGGTAGGTCCAGTTCTTTATTAACTCTGCGTTGTGTTGTACAAAGAGTCTTGAGACAAAGTTTTTGCTGACACCAGCATTTAATCTGTTAACACAGGAATGCTGGTCAGAAACCTAGCTTTTGATAGGATTGGTAGGATCAAACAGTACACTCTGTTGGAATAAAAAGACTGAAATAAGTATTAAATAACTCTGAAAGTTTTCCTCACATACGTGCACTGATAGAACCCGACCTACCTCGAATGGCTCCGCCTTAAAACTGACTAACCGCAGGCGCAGCTGGATACGTTAGCACGTAAAGCACGTAAACCGGAGACGTTTTCAGCTGTTTTACTGATGGCAAGTGGAATGACACTATTTACTCTGTTACACGTGTTCAACTGGAGCCAAGATTATCAGTCACACAGCATTGCGTTGTTTTTCTGTCACGTTAACGTGAAGATTGAATGCCACGATCATACAGCTGAATGGATTTAAAATGTCATTAAATAGTTGTTTTGTATTGTTAAAAGAGATTCCCAACGTTCTTATTTAAATCAACTAAAAATGCAGTTTATTTAGCTAATCTGTGTTTCTGCCTGTTGACCTGTAGGGGGCAGGCCAGATCCTTCTTTACTTCTTCCAGACCTCACAGATCTGTTAATTTGCTCTTAAACTACAGCCTTGTTATTATACTATAAATATTTTCTACATAGATTATTTGATCAGAACTGTATTGAGTAACTGAGATGTGTGTTTTATAATGAATACAATCTTAAATGATATAAAGGTGACCCACTGATCTGTGGATGCTCCAACAACAATACTGGATGCTTTATAGTGATGAAAAGTATTTAATAGAAGTTTTTGTCTTTTTAATGCAGTAATTTCAACGAAACATGAGTTATTTTACAAGAACATAAATATTTTTGCCATAAATTCAAAGACTAATCAGTTACTCATGATGAGTACATTGGTACCTGCTCATGGAACAAATACATGTAACAACTGAGAGAGTTTTAAATGCAAATAGTCTTTTTCAGTGTAGAAGGAAAGATTTTCTGAATGAAAACAACATATTTAGAAACCTGGGCAAGGAAACGGTGATCCTGGATGTTAGAACTTTATTCTTGTGTGGATCTCGTGCCCTTTGGGTGTTTGGTACCTCCTCTAGCAGCCAGCCTTTATCATTAGCTACAGATGGCTAGCATACAGCATCTACCAGCGTGATAGTCATTGGTCATTGGCAGTCGGTAATTAGAAATAGATGTACAGGTAATAGATAAATAGTTTAACAATCTTCAGTAGATAATAGAGTAAAGCTGATGTTAATTTCCATATTATTAATGGATATGTAGATGACAAGCAAATGATCAGAGGATTAATGAGGAATAAGCAGTTTCTGATCATCTTTAAACCAAACTCCCGACCTAATCTTTATATCTTGAAGTCACGTGAATATTGG